TTTATGTTCTTATTTGTTCCAATTGTTCCTATTTGTTTTATAGTGTGTTTGCAAACTTGAGAGGAATGTTGTGCTGTCCATTGCTGATTTCATGGTATCACCGTATGCAATGTATGGGGCCCGTTTATGTCCCAGATAAGTGTATACCTGTATTTTGCACTACCCCTTGATCCTATTGTATACTATGTCTTACACCTGAGGATTTGCCTTCCCAGCCTTTTATCTTTTAAAGTGCCATGGCCTCGCAAGTTCCTGACGTGGAATGTGTGGTATGAGAGCTCGACCTAAGCGTACTGCAATTAGGTCCCAACTAAAATCTCTGTGGGCTGATGTGTTGGTCCTTGTGGAAACCCACATCACCGGTCAACTTCAGATGGCCCTTAAAAAACCCTGGATTGGCTGGCTATATCAAGCTACCTACACCTCCAATTCACATGGTTTCACCATAATTGCTAAGATGGTCCGTTTTCAGTAATTGACCTTGCAGGCGGATCCACAGGGCAGATTTCTTTTTCTACATGCTGTTCTCAATTACCTTGAATTGTTAATATTGGCCTACTATATCCCTCCCCCCTTTCAGTTTGCGGTATTCAATGACGGTCTGACGTTCATTGCATGTCCTCCTGGTATTCCTGCAGTGTGGCTGAGGGATTTTAATATGATTATAGACCCTAGTTTAGATAAGCTGGATTATGACCCCTCTTTTCTTACTCCATCCCATGTTACCGGGTTTGCTAAACTTTTGATGGAATTTGCACTAGTGGACACTTGGAGATACTTGCACCCCATGATCAAAGCTTACTCCTGTTTTTCGGCCTCCTACTCTATGATGTCTCGCATAGATTATATATTTATATCCAAATTGCTACTATCTAAACTGGGGGAGGTGGGTTTTGCCCCTCGGGCTATAGTCAGGCAATATCCAGACCATGCTCCTTACTGGATGGCACTCAACCAGCCTTCTTCCTCCCCTATTTTATATGTGGAGGTTGAATCCTTTTTGGCTGACTGTCCTTCCGGATCTGGAGGATGTACAGACCGCTTGGAGTTGGTACTTTGCAAATAATGAGGGTGCAGCTGACTTTGGTTTTGTTTGGGACTCCTTTAAATTGCACGCTCGTGGGATCTCCAGATACAAAGCTACATTTAGCTTAGCTGTTTGGCGGGCACAGGAGCGTTTGCTTGACCTAGAACATTTGTTTCAAGTTAACCCCTCGGGTGAGGTCTCCTCATTGGTCAGGTTGCAGGCACGTCTGGTTAATCATCTCCTCTTTGAGAAAGCTAAGCAGCATATTTTTTTTTACCAGGCAGGGAATATTCGAGCATGGAGAACAGATCGGTCACCTTCTAGCATACTTGGCCCATTTGGACCTTCGACCCCCCCATCGTGAACTCCCTGAGGGGCGCCTCAGGTGCTAGCGTCACCGACACAGATCTGGCGGCGGCGGAGTTTCGTTACTTTTTTTTCTAGTCTCTATTCTTCCATGGTTCATGCCTCTCGGTATGGTTTGTAAAAATTGAGTGAGCTCATCCGATTTCCTACCCTTACCCCCCCCCCCCAGGTTGCTCTTCTAGAGGCTCCTATTTCCACAGATGATGGAAGTCTGGAGGCTCCTATTTCCTGAGGCTGGAGGCTCCTATTTCCATAGATGATATTCCTGTTGTCCTCGAAAGCGTCGGGCTCTGATGGACTCCCTCTGGCGTTTTACACATATTTTCAGGAATCGTTAATCCCCTCTTGACATTCTTTCTTTATATCAACATATCTTTGAATCTGCCTCTCTTCCCCAGTCTATGCGAGAAGCTTTAATTGTCCTCATCCTTAAACCCGAGAAGGACCCCTCATTCCTTGAGTCGTATCGCCCCTTCTCCCTCCTGCAATTGGATATTAAGATCTTGGCTAAGGCCCTGGCCTTGTTCCTAAATAAAGTTATACTAGATCTAATTCATTCGGATCAGCTCGGGTTTATGCCGGCCAAGAATACGGCATTCAATCTTCAAAGGCTCTTCATGAATTCGCAAGCTACCCATGATAACACGGGCTCTAGAGTCGTTGTCTCCCTAGAGAGGCTTTTAACTCCGTGGAGTGGGGATATTTATGGGAATGTTTACGCAACTTTGGTTTCGGGCCCAAGTTCCTTAAGTGGCTTAGACCACTGTATCACGCTCCTACGGCTAGGGTCCTGGTGGGTGGTCGGGTATCGGATTCCTTTCCCCTCTCAGGGGACACGCGTCAGGCTTGCCCCCTATCTCCCCTACTGTATGCACTGGCAGTAGAGCCCTTGGCCATAGCTATCCGATTACATTCTGATATCCACGGTTTGTGCTCCGGTCTATTGACCGAGATAGTAAGTCTATATGCTGGTGACATGCTTTTGTATCTGGAGGATGCGGGTCCTTCAATTGGAGCTGCTCTTGCTCTTATTAAGGATTTAGGCCGTTTTTCAGGGCTCTGTATAAATTGGGGGAAATCCCAGATTCTTCCTTTAGATTTTGGTGCCCCTACTAGGGAAAAGGCTAGTCTTCCTCTGGTTGGGGTCAGCAACATTACCTGTCTCGGGATTGTGGTCTTTCGTGATGCTGCGGATTATTCCTGACTTAATTTAGAATCCGTTTATCCTATGCTAAAGTTCAAATTGCAAGCCTGGTCTCATCTCCCCCTTGGGGTTATGGGACAGGTTAATTTGATTAAGATGGTGCGCCTTCCTAAACTTCTCTGTATTCTTTGACACGCACCGATATATTTATCGTTGCGGGTATTTAAAATCCTTGATTCTATGCTTAACTCTTTTGTTTGGGGTAGTGCTTGGCACAAATTGTCATGGCGCGCCATTAAAAATTCCAGACATCGGGGGGGGGGGGTACCGCCCTCCCGGATATTAACCTTTATTATTTGGCAGCCCAATTGTCTCATTTTTTCCACTTGGATAAGCGGGACAGGAATAGATACCTTGCACTGGTGTGTGCCCCGGCTTTTTCCTGGGTTGTTCATCCCTTTCAGTTATTACTGCGGGTTGTGCGGGATCCCGTGGCTGTGGGGGGCCAGAGGGGACTGCTGTATCACCACTGCAAGATTTCACTCTGGAAGGTTGCAGTTTCCGCATATCCATGCCTGTTCCCCTTTGTGGGATAACCCGAATCTCCCCGAATTGCGCACACTCCCTGATTTTAGCCTATGGATCCACAGGGGGATTTGTTTCCCAGGTGATCACCAGTGCGGGAGTCAAATCTTTTCAAACCCTCAAAGGTGAATATGACCTCCCCAACTTTGTTTGTGACGGGAGTCACTTTGGGTGGGGGGCCCATGGACGCAGCTCACTTTGGAGAGGTGAGGAGACCCCTGTCTCAGCTCCCCATATCCCTCTTATGTGTAAGTCACCCTGTGCCTGTTAGGGGTGCAGGGTGATATGTCCTAATATTGTGAATTCCCCCTGATGGGACTGTCTGCTGGTGTTTCTTGTTACTGGGTGTGGATTGCCCCACCCTGTGTAGGGAGGGGGAATTGTTCCCTTGAATGTATATATCTTGTATCTGTGTTAAAATAAAGTAGTCTATTTCCTGATTTATTTCAAGACTGGTCTCGTATGGTCAGCGATGGTGTCCGTGGTCAGTGTTCGGATGGAGGAGTTGTATTATTACGGAAATACCCAAGTGCAGTCAGGGTCTGGTTCCGTTACATTGTTTTTTCGTTATCTCCAGCTCCGTCATGCTCTGCGGGCCCAGTTTGGGGATTGTCTTTTACAACCCAACTCTAATTGTCTTTTGAATGTGATTTTGGGCATGGAATCTAAGAAACTCACGTCCACATTCTATAATGCTTTGCTTTCACCTTCTGCATCATTATGGCATATCACCTTAAAACCCACTCGGAGGTGGACATGGGGGAGCTGGATGATGAAATGTGGGAGGAGGTATTGTCCTCGACTAAGACGGTTTCCCCGAGCACCGTCTTACTCAGCTATATATTATACATAGAACCTACTTGACACCAATTTGATTGTCTAAATACAGGCCACAACATAGCCCACTTTGCTCTAAATGTGGGGACCCTGATAGTACTTTTTTTCATTTAATATGGTCCTTGTCCCCTCATATGGGGTTACTTGGTCTCAGGTGGTCTGGTTCCTACATGACAAGATTGGCTCCCCCCCTTACCCTGTGCCCTAAACAGTACCTGCTCGGTCTTCTTCCTAGCTCACAAACCGACAAATTCCAGACTTTTTTTGCAAGAGACGCTATTTGTGGCTAGACTATTGCTTGCTCGTATGTGGTTGCAGGCACTGTCGCCTAAGTTTTCACAGTGGGTATATGCGGTAAATAGAACTTTACCATATAAGGTTATTTATATACACAGAGGAAGCCCTGCTAAATATCACAAAGTTTGGGATAGATGGCTCGACTCTATATTAGCTTGTGATGAGGAAGAGGAGGAATGATTATTATTTATTATACAGAATTTATATAGCGCCAACAGTTTGCACAGCGCTTTTCAAAATGAAGGTAGACAGTACAGTTACAATACAGTTTGTTACAAGAGTAAACAGAGGACCCTGCTCGTTAGAGCTTACAATCTAGGAGTGATTATTCTTTGTAAATCTATTATGCTGGTTGCTTGCGGCAAAGGCTCTACAATCTGTATAATGCATTACTCGCTTGTCTAATCGATCTGTGTTTGTTTTCATTGAATATGTGACGTGGCTGCATATCTGTTCCTCTCAATAAAAAGTTTGCTTGATTTAAAAAAAAAATTCTTACCCTCCTAAGAATCATTGCTCAGCTATATGCAAAAAAAAACCAAAAACGGTTCACTAAAAAGTGGACTGTTCCAATACCGGACTCTGCTGTCTCATTCTTAAACATCTTACTCTACCCATTAACCACCTTCCGCCCGCCCTATAGTACAATGACGGACGCAAGGTGGTTCTCTCGTTCTGATAGGACGTCATATGACGTCCTACCATTCTCACTGCGCATGCGCGGCTCAGGGAGCACGCAGCGCACCGATCGCCGGTCCGCTGTGTCCCTCGGACACAGCGGATCATGGAGAAAGTCGAAGATGTCGGCTCTGTCATGTGATCAGCTGTGTCCAATCACAGCTGATCACATGTAAACACAGAAATGCCGGTTATCGGCATTTCTCTCCTCTCGAGCTGTCACGCTGACAGCTCGAGAGGAGAGCCGGTAATCAGCTTTCCGCGGAGGGGATATGTACACTGATCATCAGTGCACTGATGATCAGTGTGCCCTGATGATCAGTGTTGCCCCAGAAGTGCCACTTGTCAGTGCCCATCAGTGTCAGTGCCACATCAATGCCACACATAAGTGCATACCAGTGCACATCAATGCCACATATCAGTGCCCATCTGAGCTGCCTTTCAATGTCACCCATCAGTGCCAGTCAGTGCTACCTATCAGTGCCACCTACACTGTTCAACAAATTTTTATATTTTTTGCCAGTTTTGGAAACAAAAGGATCCATTTCTTAATGAATTTCACATTCTGAGTTCAAATATAACAATGAAATTTGTCAATTGGCTCTAGTTTTTCTGTAAACGGAAAGTTTTCTACTATAGACGTAATGACTACATAATGCACAATAATTATATAGATAGATGTCTTTCCACAAATATAAAGCAAGTGATATTGACTACATAACAAAGCCTAAATGGCATAATATATTGCATAGGATTACCAAGAAAAATTATAGCCATAAGCTAAGTTGAATCATTTTAATACTTAGGATTCTCACTAGTTTTGTCTTCAGTTTGTGTCGGTTTTGCTTCTCTTGGCTTTTCTCTTGTATTCGAGGAAAGGGCTATCTCTTACAACTGCACGTGACTACACGCTTCAGGTTCTTCCTCACTTGACTCAACCACGAAGGATTCTGGTGCTTTAGGAATTGGTAGCCCCTCTCCATGAGGAACTGGACGTATTGCCGATGGAATATTTGGATAGTGCACAGATAACTTTTTCTTCTTATTTAGCCCTTTTACAATTGGAGGCACCATACAAAAGTAACAATTACTAACATGATCTGTTGGCTCTCTCCAAATCATTGGCACAGCGAAAGGCATAGATGCCTTTTTTCCATTCAACCATTGCTCCAGTGCCGTCCCACAAGAATTGCAGCATATATGTGGTGCCCAGCTCTTGTCCTGGTCTCCTATCTTGCAGCCAAAATACAAGTTGTAGGCTTTCTTAATCATTCCTGTTATCCTCCTTTTTTGTGAGATAAAAGTTATTTCACCGCAGATATAGCAGAAATTATCTGCTTTATTCACACAAGTTCGAGGCATTACTGAGTAGCCTATATAAGCATAAAACGAAATGTAAAGACGCTGTCGAACTACAATCAGCTACAGATACTGCAGCTTTTATGCAGTGAAGTGATGCAATTAAAGGCTAATATTGCATCATCTCAGTATACATGCAATTTTCTATTGGTCACCAGTATCAATTGCGCAATATGCAGCTGAAGTTGCATCATAATTTTGAATGGCTTACGTCATTAGATGGGTGAATATATCATGGAAACTAGAGCCAATCAACATTTTTTAGGGTCATTTTAGTTTTCAGCACCCCAAAATTATGTAAGATTAGCTAATTTTATGCCCAAAACTTTTTACCTGTTGAACAGTGCTATCAGTGCTGCCAATCAGTGCCACCTATCAGTGCTGCCTATCAGTGCCAGTGCCAGTCAGTGCCTCCTAACAGTGCCAGTCAGTGCCGCCTATCAGTGTCATGTATCAATGCTGCCTTTCAGTGCCCATCAGTGATGCCTGTCAATGCTCATCAGTGCAACCTATCAGTGTCCATCAGTGCAGCCTGTCAGTGCCCATCAGTGCAGCCTCAATGGCGCACATCAGTGATGGAGAAAAATCACTTATTTATAAAATTGTATAACAAAAACTAAGAAAAAACTTTTTTTTTTCAAAATTTTCAGTGGTTTTTGGTTTGTTTAAGAAAAAATAAAAACCCCAGAGGTGATTAAATTCAACCAAAAGAAATCTCTATCTGTCTCAAAAAAAGGATAAAAATTTCATATGGGTATAATGTTGCATGATCGCGCAATTGTCATTCAAAGTGTGATAGCGCTGAAAGCTGAAAATTGTCCTGGGCAGGAAGGGGGTATAAGTGCCCTGTAGGCTAGTGGTTAAAGATGTTGCTTCATTTAAGGATTCTGCAGACAGAAAATTTGAGATGCTCTTAAAGGCTCCCTTTACTTATGCAGGTCTAGTCCTGCAACCAGTTATTATTGTAATTTCTGTTCTTCAAACCACAGTTAATTGGATTAGGGTGATGAGCAGTCAACAGGATCTGAAGAATCCTATGGCTGAAATCCTGGACAGCTGAAACTGCCTGTAAAGGATGCCTCATTCGTGTGCCCTTTATAGGAGAGCTTTGGTGAGGCACTTAACATGTTCGTGGAGGATGTCAAAACAGAAGGCTAAAAAAACCCCCTTTTTCAGGGTCTTTTGCCTCCTCTAAACACAGAGTGTCTCACCGCTACCTTTCAGTCTTAAAATTCTGTCTAAGAACACAAAGCCCAAAAGGTCTACCCCAAAGCCTCTTTCACAATGAAAAGGTACCCTCACGCTAAAGAGTGGGGTTATGTCTGTTACAGTTTGCTGCGCTCTGGATCACAGATGTCCTAGAACTATGGTTTCAGTTGGTGGCACAAAATATTTTCTCCCCTCATCTATTTATTCTTTCAAATCAAGCAAAATCTACCCTAGGTCAGTCAGATTTATAGACTGCCTTGGACTATCTCTTGTCTCAGACAGGTGTCGTTTGGATCCTGTGCAGGACAGGTTGAACGGATTCCATTTAAATCTGTTAAGGGTACCAAATCCTAGCAAAGGTATTCATCCTATCCTGGACCTAAAACCCCTATACAAGTACCTTCTCGTTCACAAGTTTAGCATGGAATCCACAAGCTCAGTTATTGCCTCCCTGAGACAAAGATAATACTTGGCAGCACTAGATTTTATGATGCCTACCTCCATATTCCCATTTACCCACCTCATCAGGGCTTTCTTACTTTCACAGTAGGTTACAAGCATTTCCAGTTTGTCGCACTGCGCTTTGTCTTATCCTCTGCATGCAGAGTATACACAAAGCTGCTTGCATCCCTTCTTGCCATCTTAACAACTCAGGACATCCAGGTTACAGGGTACTTAGATGAACCTCTTCCAAAGGAATCCTCTCCCTCAGAACTGTCTTCAACTGTCCAAAGGACTATTCAGATTTTTCAAGGGTAATCGACTTACAAAAGAGTGCCTCAGGCAGAAAAGGTCATATGCTCAAACCCTAAGATCCCAAAGACATCCCTCTGAGAGATTCTCCCTGAAAGTCCTGGTCTCATGGAGGCCTCATTCAAGGCTACTCCCTTAGCTTAGTTCCACTGAAGGTCTGTCCAACACAACATTCTGCTGGCCTGAAACAAAAAACACTTCATCTCTTCCCTATGCTTCTCTCCAGTCAATCAAGGAACCCCCTAGCTTGTTGGTTTGTAAGTCCAGTCTTGGAAGGTGAGAACAGATGCCAGTCTCTCACAGTTCAGGCTCTCTAGTTACCTAGGGAAGCAAAGCTCCTAATCATCATCCTTGAACGCAGAGCAATAAAATTATCTCTGCACCACTGGACCCCTGTTTCCAGGGATACTCAATCAGGTTGCAGTCAGAAAATGCAATACCGGTGGCCTACCTCAGTCTTCGGGGTCGGGTTGAACAGCCTTGAAGGAAGCAAGTGATTATCTACTGGGCAGAAATCTGTTCAGCAATCTCTGCTGTTCACATCTCAGGAGTGGACACTTGGAAGGCAGATTCCTTGTCCCTACCTGGACCAAAAGGAATGGCCCCTTCATTCCTGACATCTTCAGTCATATCAGAAATGGGTTACTTCAGATGTGGACATCCTGGCCTTTAGGTTTAACACCAAATTATAACTGCTTATGACCAGGACCAAGGATACTGTAGCACTCAGGTAATTCAATGGACTCTATTCAGGTTAATATATGCCTTCCCTCCAGTGCAGATGTTTCCTCCTCTGCTCTTCAAAATAGAGGAAGAGAAAAAAATTGGTGATCCATATTGCACCAGGAGATGACTGCTGGCCTTTTTTGAACCAACCAGACCTGCTGTCTAAAGGCCCCCTGCTTCATCCTCCTCAGTCACTGACTTAAACATCATTGCTGTTGAATCCCAAGTCTTGAAGTGATCTATAACCAATAAGAAAACAAAGCTTGACCCTAACGTCCATAATATGGAACAAGGAAGAGACAGGAGGACTGGGCTAAATTACAACTGGTTATGCAACCCAACACTTGAAAACATAGTTATAAGAAGCCACAAAAAATTATACAAAATTCAGTACAAATTAAGTTGCAAAACAAACTCTGACCAATCAAAGTCCCATAATAAATCAGGTCTTGTCAAACATGTGAACTTGTAATCCAGTAGTGGAAACAGTTTAAGTAAAAAATAAGACATACATTTAGTTTACATTTATGAGTTAAAAAGATGTTGCCAAACAATTCTTCAACTATGTGGCAGGAATAAGAAAGGTGTTGTGTACCGGCTTCCGTAGGTATAGATGTATGCACTGAAAATGCAGGAACAATTATCCAGAAATGGTGATGCTGTGGTGAAGTCTGGAATAGACTGCAGTGTCCTCCGGTGTGAGAACTGTCAGTGGTGTGTGCTGGAATCACACACCGAAAGTAACCTCAGAGGGACTGCAGGAGGACCGGAACAGGAGCCACAGCCAAACCTGGCAGTCAGGCTTGGTTCATACACATCCTGGGCATGTAATGGTTGTCATTACAACATGTTTAACATGCATAGTGCTTTGCCAAAGTCATATGTCAACCAGAGGAGGTAGAATTTAAAAGGCTAGCCCCCAGGAGGGGGTGGGCAGATAAGAGGGAGGCTGAAAGGTCTCTTAAAGGTACAAAACATGAATAATTATCACTGCCACGAACAGCACAACCCTATAATTGCATACAACTAATTTTACGGTAAGAACAGTATAAATAACGCAGTTGAAAGGGAAAAAGAGAGAGAGGATAATAAATAAAAAAATATATGCATAAACCTATAAATAATACAAATAATCATAAAATATCAAATTGGGGTATGACTAAAAAACAAACAAAATAAGATGAGGTAAGATGCAACATGTATGTGTGCATTTAAAGTATAATAAATCTTACCTCAGTTAAAATTAATATCTCCTGAACGTGCACAGTTTAGCAGACGTTCGCTCTTTGAGAGCCGTCGCATGCACTGTGTCGTGGCAGGTAGTCAGTCAGACAGCCAGTCAGATGGCCGAAGCTTGCGAACCCGGAAGGAAGACCAGGGGAAGATGGAAGCCTCTGCAGTGGTGACAGCGCGCCGCTGGAATGCTTAGTTTTAAGGCAAG